GTCAAAAGAAAAGGTGACATGGTGACCATAGAATTTAAAAATGCTGAATTCAGTAACTAGGTATTTTTAATAGCACATGTATCACATCTCTCTTGGTCTGGGACCAGGTGTTTGATTTCTGTAGAGACATGAATGTCTTTTAAATATATATTCCATCATTATATGAAACTGACAGAACCATCCAGTTAATGGCAGGTTTTGATCATGTGAGCTGCTGGATAATTGACAAAAAATATGTCTAGATAATTGAAAAAGAAAGATCCTATTTAGTTAGCATGAACAGCATGGAAAATGGCATTGTTATACAGTTGTCAAAAAAAAAGTAAAGACATAAAATGCTGGAACTTATACTTGAATACTAAGAATTCACCAAGTTTATGTGTTTATTAAAACCAAGTTTATTTTTTATTAAAAAGTATTTCATGAAGTGTTAAAAGACTGGTAATTTCCTCTATTTTGTTGTTAACATTGTAACATGTTTTGTTGTTGTTAAAATTATTCTTTGTTTACTTGTAAAATTTATTGGCTGCCCATTTTACCACAATTGTTAAAACTCTTGTAGATAATAACCTGTAAATAACAAAGCCTACAAAGCAGAAAAGTAATGTAGAAATAAATGAATATATGCAGTAAGATATTTCTTACTGTACCTGTATAAAGCTAAGCTTTAGCAGGTGGGATGTTAAGTTTTAATTGGCTGAATTTGTAGATCAATCAAAAAGAGCTTCTTAAGGGTCAGGTTTAATCAGTATCTTTATTTGAAGTAATTTTGGTTCTCTAATGGAAACAAAATTTATTACTGAAGATAGCTTTTTCTTTGCAAAGTATGACTACTTCAGAATAACATTGAAGTTTTATTATTTCAAAGTGACCATATTTTTAAACTGCTGACTACAATTATTTTGTTATTAGCTCCAGTTATAATATCTAATGTAATTTCTTAATATCCTATTTAGCTTCTGATTTCCTTGAACACAGTCACAGACTTTTTATTCTCTTTGGTACTTCTTGAATTCACAAAAACATTGAAGTCCTAGTGATAATTTCTAATAATTTCCAGCCATATGTAATAACGTGGTATTATTAAAATATATGTATATTTTTGAGATATATATATATATATATATATATATATATATATATATATATATATATATATATTAATCTGTTTCAAAAGGGATGGCAAATATTCTAAAATGGACAAATTTTTAGAGAACAGATGTAAAGAAATCTGGCTGACATAAAAACATCCTTATTGGCTTAATATGACATTTATATACAGGACTTAAGAATCAGCAAACAAGAATGACTCTCAGGTCAGTATAGAGAATCTATACGGTGGGTTCGCATCATCCTTGATTTTTAAGGCTGGGAACCTCTGAGCTATGTGCCCTGTCATATACTTCCAAAGCTGTTGGGATCTTTAGAGTATTTCAGTATGTTTTATATGCAAAGGATCTCAAGTTCACTTACTTCTTCTTCTTAACTAACATACAATAATATGGCTCTTAATCAAAAAAGATTTCTATTAATTAATATTCAAATTATTTTGATATAAGTGAAAATCTTCTATCATCCAAGTCAGTGTGGTCAATTCTTCATTAAAGCTCTTTATTGTATGCATATCCCTCTAAATTAACTGAAAACACTGTTAAAACACTGTATGTCATGGCTGATAAAACAATTTAAGATGACCAAAACTAAAACTTTTCTCCTATGGACAAAATAAAAATCATGACAAAAGATACAGTGCAGAGGCTAAAAATCTTGTTGCTCCAGTAAAGTAGGTGACCTTATTTAATTGAGATTATTCCAATGAAGAGTGGAAATGTTACTCAATCTGCAAAAACACATACTATACATACGAACACACACACACACACACACACACACACACAGCATTCCGCCAGTCTTAGAATCTACCTCAATACTGAAAAATAACAAAAATCCTATCCATATTTTTCTCAATATCGATTAAGCATATCTGTAGACACTTCCATTTGGAATTATGGTAAAGAAAAGGTTTTCTGACATCTTATAAACATTTTGAACACTATTTTATTCAGTTCTCTCTTTTATATGCAGTATTTTTAATGAAAGTGAGACTAGCTGTTAGTAATCTTTTTAAAAAGTGCATAATAAAAATCTTATGTTGCTAACTGAATTTGTTTTGGCATGCAATGAATCCAATGCACCTGCAGAGAGAATGTTCTCAATAATGGATGACATCTGGTTGAAGACAAAAGTAGAATGTCAGTAGTTTTACTAAAAGGGTATGGCAGTGGTTAGAGCCAATCTAACTGGCAACTGCTCTGAGGTCTCTGAATAAGTGTTTGGCAGCATGCTGCTTCTTTAGAAAACAAATTCTTATCAACTCTAAGGTCACAAAGATGACACTGCTTTAGGTTCTTATACTAGAAATTTAGGTTAAAGCATTGAGACACAAGCATTGAGACAGTAAAGCTGATCTTAGGGATAATTTAATTTGCAGATGTATGTGCCAGGAACATAACAGTGATATGTTCACATTGCTAGCTTTAGACCTTACTATGCATAATATGAAAATGAGAGGACAACTTCTGACTGCAGCTAACATTTTAAAAACAGAGAGAAAAAGGAGAGAAAAATTGATACAGAAGACATGAAAATGGTGCTCCTTTTAAAAACTGCTACCTATCTATAGCAACTGTTTCAGTTTGCAATATAATAAGGTCAGGCATGGAAAGACAGTGAATGTCAGATAATACAATTTTCTATAGCTTGCATTTAAAAGAAATGCAAAATAAATAAAAAAGTGAAAGGTTTTTTTTTACAGTTTTATTTGCTGTACTTATTACTTTTCAACTGTTGTTCTACTTTATCCTAATGTTTCAAATAGATAAGAATTGTTTTTAAATTAATGAATCAATTTTTATATTTGAATGTTATATATTTTCTAGTGTAGAATATGAGGAAAAGAAAGATAACAGAATTATATATGTCAGTCTGAGAATATGTATTTTTACTCAGTACTCAAACTGGAATAAATATAGACAATCATAGAAAAACAAATAGAATTAAGCATATTTTAATTCACTGCCATCCAATGTTTTCTGGATAGATGGCAAAATATGGTGTATATATGATCAGGTGAATGGCTGAATATTTTCAAGGTAATAATTGATTAAATAATAACCAATAGCATGTTTCCTCTGTTGTCCTTCCTTATATACAAGTACCTGACATTATATGATAAAGCTGAAATAGATTTTCTTCTATAACATTCTTAATGATGTAGAAATACCAGACTGAAAGTCTATATTTTGAGATGATCAGGAAACTTTATTACCCAAAACATCCATGACTAAAACAAAGGCATTTTCTTAAAAGAGTTTAGGTTAGGCTTTTCTTCTGTTTTTCTCCACTGCAGCATCTTGTTTCTAGGCCTTGCCGGAAGAAAAACAGTCAGATAGTTTGCAGAGCCAAAGGGTAAATATTGAGAAAAAGGAGAATTCCTTCTACATCATCTCCTTTGCTTTACTCATGGGAAACAATATCAATTACATTTTGTTTTCTATCTCAGACTGGGGAAATGCTATAACTTCTGACCTGTAGTGTACCACTTCTGAAGTTGATATTCATTCCTTTTATTCATGGTCTAGGCCCAAACCTTTCCCTCACTATCTGTTTGTCTGTTCTACTTTTCATAAATATGCTTTTACCTTTGGGGAACAAGAAGACCAACATATTCAATGTTTTCAACTGTAATTGACATGATTTCCATTGGACACGCTGGATTTCTTTCTCCTCTTATTATTTGCTCAGGTCTGTGTCTCTATCCTGTAAATATCCACCAGGCTCCTACACTTAGTTAAATGCCTATTCTGTAATCTACTTTTGAGTTCTTTATTCTATATTTCTCTGGGATCTCCTGCAAATTGGTTTTCCGTGACTCAATCCTTCTATTTGCCTATACAGATAATCTTAATCCTTACCACATCTGCAGTGGTGCAAGGACAGACTGCCCATCCAACAATAAAATAAATTTTTGCATGACATGTTAATCTTAGTCAAAACTGCTTTTGCACTTCTTTTATAAAAACAGAACTGTTTGCTAACATTGTACTGCTGACATTTCAATTCGTTAGTTAGAATGCCTGGGAACTTTCTTTCATATTGCCACAACTCTGTTAATCAATGCCAGACTTTTCGTTTTACAAAGTCCCCTGCATAGATAGGTCACGAAAAAGATTTAAATAGTTGTTTATAAAGCAAAACATCTATTTGGCTGGCAAAACTACATTAGGATTAAAAGAAAAGATGGATAACAAGGCTAAGCTTCTACTGACATTTTGGCATTGATGGAAATAACTTGTTTGCAAATTAATTCCAAGGCCTATTAAGATAATTAAAATATTAAGAAGAATAGAAACTTGCATGCAAAAAACTCTTATATGAACTAGCAATTCTGGAGACTTTGTCCAAGCTAGTGAACATTGTCTCAACCAGAAAATAAAAGCAACTGATATTTATTAAATTAGTCAGAGATTAACAAGTGTATGTATGTATGTATGTATGCATGCATGCATGCATGCATGCATGTATGTATATACTGTGTGTATGGACAAAAGTTCTCAAGACAAGGTGGAGAATAAACTTTGTCATTTGCAAAATGCAGCAAATCCTGTCATAGTACAAATTGTACACACATTTCTAGTAAAATGTATTTTTATATCAGCCAAGAAAGTATATTTAATTTGGAAATAAAAATCCTTTTGGGAAACTGTCAAGAAGTCACAAAATCTGAGCCCAAACAGGAAGCATACTGTTTAAAAAGCTGATAGACATAAACTTTTCACCTGCCCTAGTTAGAGCTTTTCTATAAATCCCCTCCATCAGAAAATCCCTTATATGTTAAACAATCTTCTGTTATTTTTAATGCTTGATCTATTATTTTCTGTTATTTTAAAATCTGAAAGTTTGACCCAGAACCAACTATTAATTTAAAATTGGAAACTCACCTTGGCATGCAAACTTCAATTCCTTAGCATCTGTAACAGTGATCCTTTTATCTGGCCTATTTTTTTCAAATCGACGATGGCTTCGCCTTTTCTTGGTCTCACCCCAAAGATTTGATCCTCCATGCATGCTTGGAATGTTCAAAATAGCAATTCCTTCCAGAGAAATATTATTCAGATCTATCTGAATTCCATCACACTGCCAAAGAAAAAGAGACGGAGACAGAGATGTAGAGGATCAAGATAAGATAAAATAAAATAAAATAAAGAAGAAGAAATCAAGTAGGGATTAGAGGATATCAGCATCTTTGTTATTTAAATTATTTTACTAAACATATATTTCCTGTATTAATTTTCTATATCAGATTATTTAACAAAGTAGCAGAGCCTCCAGAATCCTGGAGTGAATCCTAGATAGGGAGGCTCTCTGCTTGGTCACTCATGACCTAGTCATCTCCTATTTGGACTTTTGCAATGCTCTCTACATGGGACTGCAGAAACTTCAGCTGGTACAAAGTGCAGCTGCCTGGAGATCTTGGGCATATGATTCCTCTTTTGTGCCCATCTACTTCCAGGTCCAATTCAACCAAGTTTTTGGTTGTCATCTTTACAGCTCTAAATGACAGGAGGCCAGATTGCTTTCTTTTTTTTAATGGAGCCATCTTCATCCTGGCAGCTCAGTAGCTCAGGTGGTTAGGACACTAGATTGGATGTTAGGAAACCCATGTTTGAAACCTGAGTGCTGCTACATAGTGGGGTGAGCTCCTGTCATTTGCTCCAGTTCCTTGACAGGGTCATGAAAGAAGCCATCATGGTGTCCCTTGGGCAACAGATGTCACTAGCTAATCCTTTCAACCTGAAAGTACCTTAAACAGTACCTTAGTGGTCAAAGTCATTTTAATTTCCTACGCTACCTTTCTGCAAATTTAGTGAGTTTCATATGTCAGATCTTAATTCCTACCAGCAATGGGAAGGCTGCTTTCCATTGTGCTTATTTCTTTTCTACTTGTTTTGGGTAGCATTGATCTAGGATGCCATCCATCCATCCATCCATCCATCCATCCATCCATCCATCCATTCATTCATTCCCTTCATATAGCTACTTATCTCATGTACTGTATGTGACTTTGGATGATATAAAATAAGAACAGACCATAAAAAAAGACAATAATATATTATTATGATTTTTATCCAACTACATAAATATCCATATAATATATATGAAGTGCAGGAACAAAATAAAAACTTATTATAGACAGTAGGTGAATCTGGAATAGTCTTTTAGTAAGCATTAATAGCTGGCACTCAGAATATTAATATCTTAGAGATAATACAGACTAGTTGGGTACTTTCCAGATGCTGCTTGTCTTTATCTCCTACAGCAGGGGAAAATGATTCCAAAAGACTGGATTCTTTTCAGTACTGATAAGTAAGCTTGATCCTCACAATGTTATTGGTCTTGCCAATTAGGGATGATAGGACTAATATCCTACAGCTTCTGTAAGGCTACAAGTTTCTTTAACTTTTAATAATTCTATTTCAACATTATAGTAACAGTTAATCTTTTTAATATGCTTTTAATAATCAAAGTTTAAATCTGCACACAAAGTTTCAATCTAAATAGAGTATTTATTATTGATTCCTAGCACCCACAGTAACACAAGCAGGAACTACATGGTGGCTGTACTGATAACAAAGTGTGTAAAGTTGTTTAGTGGAGGCACATGTGTGTATGTGTATATGCTTATAACAGGTTTTTTTTTATTAGAATCAAACTTTTACATGTCATATAGGTGTTAAGTATTAAGAGGATTTCTTTTTACTAAAAATTCTACTCATGTGTATACTCACTTACTGCTATACATTCTTGATAAACAGATATTAATTTCATAATTAAAAGTAATCTTGTGTAAATACCCTGCAGGCCTCAATGAATCAAACACATACTGTGTGTCAGGCCTCCCACTGTCTTCAAGTGGAATGTACTGGCTGGATAATTAGATAGTACATATTTTTTAACCTTATTTGCATGCATATTATATCTTTTGCACACTGACAAGCAGCAGTAACAACAAAAGTCAGATTACCACAGGGAATTCCCACAAAGAAGTCTTCATTCCTTATAATTTGCAGCCTAAATTAAAATAATTTGATCTTTGACAAGGATGAAATGTCAAGCCGAAGGGGGTCCTCTACAAGCCACAGCCTGTGGCTTCAGAAATCTGCCTAATTTATGTCAGTCACTTCTTAATACATATTTAAGTATTACACGAAAAAGATGATAAATATGCAATCTGACACCTTTGGTATTTCCCTGCTGTTAATTTATAAAGGTCTTGTGCCCCCACCTCCATCTGACTAAAATTATTTAAATAAAGGGAGAATTGTGATATAAGAAGGTGCAGGGAGCGTTTTCACTCAATATCGAACACAGCAGGCAGTACACTAAGACAATTATTTCACTAGGCCTCAGAATCATGCTGTGATGAGTTACTTTCAGAATTAGTAAAGAAGAATTTCTTTGTTCGGATATGGAAGAATTTCTATACAAAGCTATCTTCATTTTGCTAACATTTTGTATATGTATTACATATTTACTGATTTTATTTTTGATGTAAAGTATAGCAATTACTTTGCAAAGTGTTGGTGAATAATATAAATGTGACATTGTCTACAAGCATTTGTTTGTTCATCTACAGGTCCATCTTTTCCAAATAAAATGTCTGTAGAAAATGATACCTATTGTATGATTTAAGCAACAGAAATGCAATATATAACTAAAGGTTATCAAATAGCAAGCTGAGGAACATGAGGTTCTCCAGATGTTGGGCTGGGCTAAAGGACTCATTATTCAAACACAAGCTAATGGGAAAATTGCTCAACGATATATTGTCCACCCTTTTTATAAAGAAACCCTGCAGGATCACACTGAAGTGAAGTAAGTTTAGAGTTTTGTCACACAATGGACATTAGATTATTAAGGAACAATTCATTCTGTACTTGTTCATAAGTTTCTTTCTTGTAATATGTCTTTAACATGTGCAATATCATTTTTGTATTTTTTTTCAAAACAGCACTTAGTTCTCAAATTAATCTGATTTTTAAAAATGGAGCTTTATATCTTTCTGGTGGGGAAGAATGAATAAGAGTTCCAAATTAAAGTGCATCACTCTTTATGGCAGTTCTTTTAAAAGCAGGTTCGAATTTGCACTGATTCTTGAGAAAGTTACATATTAAGTTAAGTTTCAGTTCTATTTTATTGAATCTTCAAGATAATGTTCCACATATATTTGTCAGGTCCCCCCAAAAAGGTGATAATGAAAGGAATGCAAATTCTATTCTTTTTTTGTAAGAGAAACTACAAACTCTGGCAACCCAGATTATGTTGTGGCCTGCCGGTGGCCAGCAGAGCTGGCAGCAGTCAGACAGTGAGGAGGTTGGGGAAGAACATGGGCCAAGCCTGGGGGCTGGTGAAAACTTGGACAAGGGTCTGTGTCAAAAGCAGAGAGGGAGATAGACAGTAGTGAAGCAGAGGAACAGCTGGAGCCCATTTCCAGTGTGCGCATGTGCAGAATGGCCAGAAGACAAGAACAACTGAGAAAGCAGGGTCAATTTGGGAATAAAGCCACACCTTGGAGATGATTGGCCCCTCCCATAGGAAACAAAGGGGAAGCGAATGGGGAGGGGGCTTTTGCAGGAAACAATTCGTTCGATAGTTTCTTTTCTTTTCTTTTTTGGTTTTAAAAAACAAACTTTATTAGATTTAAAAAAAAAAATAAAGTTGTATAAAACATTCACAACCTTAAAAGATAATCAACAGTATCAACAAACAACAAAAAAGTATATATAATGTATATAAGTACACATATACACAAAAACTTATTTTCCTTTTTTTCCTTAATGACGGTGTATAATTATTACTTTTAATTTCTTACTAAATTTTGACTTTACCTTCTTTTCCTTTGGTTTATCCATTCATACCAACTGTCCCATATCTTAAAATACTGTGAGTCTTCCTTATCTTTCAATTTCAATGTTAGTCTATCCATTTCTGCACATGTGTAAATTTTTTGAATTATTCGCTGCTCCGTTGGCAATTGATCTGTTTTCCAGACTTGTGCTAGGGCTAACCTAGCTGCTGTAATTATATGTAATATTAAGTACTTTTTTTCCTTTCTAATGTTTTGTTTCCCTTTCCCATTCTTCCAATTGTATGTTTTTACCAATATTCCTTGCGTTCGGTAGTTCAATAGTTCTGTTGTGGAATGATGAGACCAACACAACTTTTCTAGGTTAGTCAGAGACAGTATATTGCGCAATAGGTTCAGAGCCAGTTTTGTACATGAAGCTTTGAACAAACTTATGATTCTGAGACCACAGTTTTATACATTTTCAAACAAAGGATTCTGTTAACTCAGCAGTTTTATCATTGCAGACATTTGTTACATCAAATGACATTTTTTCTAATTACTAAGTTTGTTACATTATCTTTGCCAAACAGTCATAATTCTTCTTGTAAATCACCAAAGCATAGATTCAATTTATCTCTTGTTGATACTTCATGTGGTCATCCTTGGTCTCTTTAACCTTCAAACTGTATATATCACCAAATGTCTCTATCTCTGACAACCGAGGGGCCCCTCTTATAGAATGTTTCTACTTCAAAGGAATTTGTCTGCCTTTGTACTATTTCTATTGGATAAATTTGCTTTTCTCAAAGAAAGCACATTTTCTTTCTTACAATACTATGAATGAAGAGGGCCCTTCAGTGATCATCTAGCTGGACCCGCATTACCTACATTAGTTCTGTTCATGATTCTAAGAGACTCTGTGCCAAGTTTTGCCTTACTCTGTGTTTGGAAACAATTTATGTGGGAGCTTGCCAAGCGAGATAAGGTGTGTTGAGAAATATTCCTTTGAAAAACTGTTTGGACAAACCTTGCTGACTGTGAATGAAAGTAATTCACAGTCGTGTAAATAAAAGAGGTTTTGCCGGGACCAATTCCTGCTTCCTGCTTTTAAGGAAGCCTAGATCAGAACAGGTTAGTTCTCCATGGAGTATCTTTGTATTTCTCCACTGCTTTCAGATACAGATAACCTCTGAATGAGAATTTTTTTTAAAAAAAGTCCCATAATTTAAAATAGCTCTTTTGCAATACAGGCCCCCTTTTGTGCTACCTGTTTTCTAATGAAGGTTTATAATCATTGTTACTTATAAAACTATGGGAAACATAAATACTCCTGCAGGAAAAAAAGGTTCCAACTTTCAAACTTTTCTCTGACTTTACCAAATATGGGGCAGAAAATATTTTGCAAACATTAATATATGTGTACATATCTGAAATCAGAAAAGTAGCCCAAATGAACACAGATGAATGTCAAGCTAAATAGATAGCTTCCTAAATTAGAATATAGATTATTCTTTCTCTTCCTTCTCCTCCTTTTCAAATTCCAATATTCATATTTCAAGTCATACAAGAACTATCTCACTATTTAAATTACTTAAATCCAGCCATTTTAGAAAATGCGAAAAATAGCTCTCTATTAATCCCAACTTTAACAGAAATTGCTTCTCATCCCTGTACTTCATTTCTTAATACATGATATATAATATATGCATTATATAGTACCTCTGTAGTTTCAGTCCTCAATAGTCAATGAGTTATGGTACAGTACAGTAAATTACTTGGGTTGACTGGAATTTGCTGCCATTAGGAATGAGTTTTATTATAACCGAAAACCTAAGTGTCAGATTTTTGTTCAGTGTGAACATGTATGTATACACATCAATACTTATTGCTATAAATATGTAATGAGAATGAATTTTCAACACAATTTTTAGTGACAGTGCTGGCCTTCTGAAATGTTCAGATACTAGAAAAGAGGTTAGTTCCTACTAACCTCTAGAAACACATGAAAAAGACAGTTTTTTAAATGATCTCAAGATTTTGATTTATTTTATGTTTTAGGGATTTTTCATTTTATTACTATTGTTTACTGTGGATGTTTTAATGATTGTTGTATTTTTGTAAATATTCAACTGCAATGTGTCCCCTTCAGGAGTAGTGTCTATTTATTTATTTGTTTGCTTGCTTTTTGTTCATTTGTTGGATTTCAAATTACATTGTTAGTCTCTACTCACACACCATTGAATTGGTGGCCTCCACAGAAAAGGGTAACATTAACATAGTTTTCTTACTTTTCTAACAGTGAACTATCATAAAATATAACATTATAATTACATAATAAAATGCATACTAAACAATCCCCCCAAAAGGCAGGAAATCAACTTTACTATCTTTAAAATTCCTAGATGGGAATTTTGGGACATTTATAATTAAAGTTTCTAGAGGTTATTGGGTGAAGAATATTATTCTAAGTAAGTAGGTCTAAAAATCAGCAAGAACTTTATTGTTTCTAGCAGATATCTGTATTTATGAAAAATAGTTGAAATGAAGGGAATTGGTCTGGGTTATATGTTTTAATATTTTGATAGTTTTGTAAAAAAACATAAAGATGAACACAAGCTAATAAAAATGAAAATAAATAGATAAAAAACAAAAGTACAAAAAGAAAGAAAAGAAATATAAAGAAAAACTTTCAATTTCCTTTGAAACAAATTCAGTTACAAAGACAATTACAATATTATTTATTACTCCATGAATACAAAGAAAACTCACTCCTTTCTACAGTCTGCGTTATTTCTAAAATTCTGTCTGAATTTTATAATCTTTGAAGTTCTATTCATTTATAGACCTTCCTGACTTAAAACTAAATAATTCATTTGTAGGTAAAATAGCCATCTTTATTAAGTGATTTTGTCTGTGCAGAGGGCCAGTTTATCCTTAAACATAAAGTAATAAGAAGAATCTAAAAAATGTTAATCCTCTCATCAAAATTCATATAAATTTTATCAAAATGTGATGATAGATGGTGTAAAAAAATCTCTTAAATATTAAATTGAATATTCAATCTCATTAAATATTTATATCAAAATGTACTTATGTGTATTTATTTTGCTAAATAGCACCCCTAGTAAATATCCTTTTTTTACATCTGATTTTTTAAAAGAAACTGATTAATTACAGATTTTATCCAGGATTTTGACATTTGTAAAATCCTGAACAGTTGTGATCGTATCTATGAGATTACCTTCTCCATAGAGATCCATGTGTCTATTTGTCTCACATTCTGTGGACATTCACTTGATATCAGTCAGCTATTATTTAGAGACACTCACCCCAGAGATAATACAGATACCAATTTTGTTAATGATTAGCTGATATGTAGCATAACATTTGCGATCTTATAATAACCATGGGCATAATTATATTATTTTATATGGTAATTTTTTATGTGTATTATTTCATTGAATTTATATGTATTTTTAAAATTTATGTATATAGTCTAGCATTGGACTGCATGATTCACACAATGTAAAATATTTTAAATAAATAAATAAAAGTAGACAAATAGGATCAATAAACAGGTGAAAAAGATGGATCTCCCTTTCATAGATTACTGCCTTGTTGTGGCAAAGGGGCTTGCGTAGCTCAATGAAACTATGAGCTATGCCGTGCAGGGCCACCTAAGATGGACAGGTCATAGCAGAGGGTTCTGACAAAATGTGATCCACTGGAGAAGGAAATGGCAACCCACTCCAGTATCTTTGCCATGAAAACCCGATGGACAGTACCAAAAGGAAAAAAGATGAAGATGAGCCTATCAGGTTAGAAGGTGTTCAATAGGCTACTGGGGAAGAGCAGAGGGCTAATACTAGTAGTGTCAGAAAGAGTGAAGTGACTGGGTCAAAGCCAAAAGGACGCTCAGCTGTAGATGCATCTGGTGGTGAAAGGAAAGTCCGATGCTGGAAAGATTTTTTCTCTATAGGAACCTGGAATGTAAGATCCATGGATCAAGGCAAGCTGGACATGGTCAAACAAGTAATGACAAGACTGAACATCGACTTCTTAGGAACCAGCGAACTAAAATGGACAGGAATGGGTGAATTTAATTCAGATGACCATCAGATATACTACTGCGGACAAGAATCCTTCAGAAGAAATGGAGTAGCCTTCATAATCAATAAAAGAATAGGAAAAACAATACTGGGATATAATCCCCAAAATGACAGAATGATCTCAGTTTGAATCCAAGGCAAACCATTCAATATCACAGTAATCCAAATCCATGCCCAACCACTGGTGCTGAAGAGGATGAAATTGACAGGTTCTATGAAATCCTATAGCACCTTATAGAATTAACACCAAAAAATGATGTCCTTATCATCATGGGGGATTGGATTGCTAAAGTAGGAAGCTAAAAGAAAACCAGAATAACAGGCAAGTTTGGCCTTGGAGTACAAAATGAAGCAGGGCACAGGCTGATAGAATTCTGTCAAGATAATTATGATGGTCATAGCAAACATTCTTTTCCAACAACCCAAGAGACGACTCTACACATGGACATTACCAGACGGTCAACACAGAAATCAGATTGACTATGTGCTCTGCAGCCAAAGATGGAGAAACTCTATACAGTCTGTAAGAACAAGACCAGGAGCCCACTGTGGCTCAGATCATGAGCTTCTCATTTGAAAATTTAGACTTAAATTGAAGAAAGTAGGAAAAAGTACGAGGCCACTCAGGTATGAATTAAATCATATCCCTGATGATTATACAGTAGACGTAACAAATAGATTTAATGAATTAGGTCTGATAGACAGAGTGCCTGAAGAACTATGGACGGAGGTTCGCAACATTGTACAAGAGGTAGCAACTAAAACCATCCCAAAGAAAAAGAAAGGCAAGAAAGCAAAATGGTTGTCTGAGGAAGTTTTGCAAATAGCTGAGGAAAGAAGGGAAGAGAAATGTAAGGAAGAAAGAGAAAGGTACACCCAGTTGAATGCAGAATTCCAGAGACTAGCTAGAAGAGATAAGAATGCATTCTTAAATGAACAGTGCAAAGAAATAGAAGAAAATTATAGAATAGGGAGGACCAGAGATCTCTTCAAGAAAATTGGAGTTATGAAGGGAACATTTCATGCAAAGATGGGCATGATAAAGGACTAAAATGGCAGGGACCTAACAGAGGCAGAAGAAGATGTGGCAAAATTACACAGAAGAACTATACAAGAACGAGATTAACATCACTGATAACCATGATGGGATGGTCACTGACCTCGAGCCAGATATCCTAGAATGTGAAGTGAAATGGGCCTTAGGAAATCTGAGCAACAACAAAGCTAGTAGAGGAGTCAGTATTCCAGCTGAGCTATTCAAAATCTTAAAAGACAATGTAGTAAAAGTGCTAGTCAATTTGCCAGCAAATTTGGAAAACTCAACAGTGGCCACAGGATTGGAAAAGGTCAGTTTACATTCCAATTCCAAAGAAAGTCAATGCCAAAGAATGTTCAAACTATCGCACCATTGCACGCATTCCACCTGATAGTTATGCTCTAAATCCTACAAGCTAGGATCTAGGAGTATGTGGATCGAGAACTACCAGAAGTACAGGCAGGATTTCAAAAAGGCAGAGGAACTAGAGATCAAATTGCCAATATACGCTGGATCATGGAGAAAGCTAGGGAGTTCCAGAAAAACATCTACTTCTGCTTCATTGACTATGCTAAGCCTTTGATTGTGTAGACCACAACAAATTGTGGCAAGTTCTTAAAGAGATGGGAGTACCAGACCATCTTATTTGTCTCTTGAGAAACCTATATGCGGGTCAAGAAATAACAGTAAGAACTGGACATGGAACCACTGACTGGTTCAAAATTGGGAAAGGAGTCTGGCAAGGCTGTATACTGTTGCCCTGCCTATTTAACTTATATGCAGAGCACATCATGAGAAAGACAGGGCTAGATGAATCAAAAGTTGGAATTAAGATTGCCAGGAGAAATATCAACAACTTCAGATATGTAGATGATACCGCTCTAATTTAGTGGGATCGTCATTGAAACTAAATGCATTTCACTGCCTAGCTGAATGTCTTGAACCTGGCATTCATTACTATTTTTATTTTTTTATTTGTAATTTTTTCCCAGTTTGAATAGATCTATCATATTGATTTGGAATAATATATACTTCTACTTTAGCGGAACTATACACAGCAATTACTTTCTTACTTCTATTTCCAAAGATTCATGCAGCTTCTTACAAGTAGCTGAGAAAGTTTCAGAAGTGCCGAATTCAAAATACCAAAATTTATTCTTCATTCTGAAATATGAAGGCAGAAAAAAGGAAAGAAAGAAACATTAATAGCTGATCATTAAACAAGTTAGCATCCCGACTTCTATCATAAAGAATCATAACATCTGATACCCATTCTGAAATGGATGAGCTCATAATTTTCAAAAAATTAAATGCAACTATCAGGAGATATATCTCCCACCCCATGTATAAAAAAATGTTTTGTAGCAGAGATTAAATTCTTTTAGGCCTTTTGGCAACTGCTGATTAGCCAAAGTGGGGCTTTTCAAGGTTACTATTTTATGTTTTATGTGTTATACCATCTAACTTTATTTCTTACACTGTCCAAAATTTAGTTGCAGAGTGTATCATCATAAGAGAATGTAATTCCGTAAGCAAATGTTGTAATTAATTGTTTGTTATGGCAAGTATTTAAAAAAGAAAAAAATCCACTTCTACATTTCCAAAGGGTTGGTTGTAAAGAGATATTGATTAGAAATTTAAATTCTGTAATATAATTCAATCAGAGAGTACAAACCAGAAATGTTTTAAAAGTTACAAACAATTTAGTTGCTTATAAAACCTAATAGAAAACACATTGCATATTATTTTGCATTTGATATCTATTATATATATTTCAAATAAACTTTTATATAATAAGTCAGTGACCAGTTGAAACCTTATTATTTGACATTTGTTGTCCATTTACTGCTTAACTTTAAAATGCAGTTTAGGTTTTAATGAACTAGTTATTGAATAGAAAGAACTTTATACAAATCCAGTTCACGACCAATTCTTTGTTTCTACATACATGTGTTATCACATTCTATGCACATGAAAATATCATTAATCACAAATTGATGTATCAGATGTATTTCATGTACTGGCCTTGGTAAAGGTATGCATCATAATACATCTTTACTCTAATGCAATAGTTCTATACAATTCCTTCTGTTACTACAAAATGAGCCCTCTTCCCCCACCTTGTGGCCCACAAGTAATTGACCCAAACCTGGTTTATCTTTAGTTAAAATATTCACAAGAGTTTTTAGCCTATTCTCAGTAGAGCTTTATGCTACCCAAGCATTCTCAAGAGATTCTAAAAAGCTGTATATGAATAGAAACAGAATACCATTAATAATTATAAGGGAAATTCAATCATTTTTACGAATGACCTACTTTACTTCCCCGAAGATCAGATCCTTCAAATGAAGTGGTATATTCTCCACTTATACATTCATTTAAAAGCATGGAAAACATTTTTTTTGTTACCGAACATAATAGCAGCTTGTAACTTTTCTGCTGCTGTATCCAGGAATCAAAAGCTAACTGGGAAAATCCATTTAAGTAGCAAATAGCTCTAAACTAGTTGGCCAACTAAACCTTTGTTCCTTAGAGCTGACATTTTTCTTTTTGATATTTCTACTTCACTAGAATTTTTTCTATGTTTGTAACTTTGTTGTCTTTTTTTTTTTTTAAAGGAGGCACTTAACAGAATATTTCTCCTCTAGATAATGACATTTTCATGGCCTTTTGAGATAAAATGGAAATATTAAATGGAAGTATTTCTAGAGATTGTGTGATTTGAGAATTTCAATCATGATCTTTTTGATTTCTGAAATTTTCATCTCAAATATATTTGTACCAGCCTATCCATTGTTAGGTTAATGTACATAGTTTTCTTCATTTAATATCAGTTAAAGACGGTATAAAGAGCCCTAACTTTTTAATACATCTGTTCCTAAGAATCCAGTGTTATTTATTCAGTAAAAAACTGCACTCTTTGAAGAAAGCTATTACAGATGCTTTGAGGATCAGAATAATTTGTGATGATTAAATATACCAAAACCAGCCAAGAAAGTATTCATAAGTTCAAAAGTTATATAAAAATGTTTAGAAAAAGATTGCAACATTATACAATATTTAGTAAGTGGGAACCCCAAAGGATTCAGACAGAAGTAATTTTAAACTACACAACACGTTCTAATGTTTATGACTTCTCAGTAAAGTGGTTCAAATCTTCTAACCAATCACATATCCCATTGGCTCACTCTACAATGTCTACTATAATTCTTGACAGCCTAATTTTCCTTCTTATAATCTTACATTGCCCTATATAATGTTTGTGCATTTTATAAAGATTATTTATATTGAACTTTATACAAATTATACATATCATAGATAATTTATACTGTGTATATGTGTATTTATTTTTCTGCTTATAAAAAGGCATTCATGTACTTGACATATTTTATAGAACTCCCTGGCTTTGCAGACAGTAAGTGGAACTTTCTGACTTCTATTGGGTCTTTCCCAATCTTCTGTATATAGTACATTACAAACTTAATATATTACCGGAACAATATATTACAAAGTTATTGCTGCAGCAGATGTACACATATACTTTCTATATATAGTAAAATTAAAACCAAGCAATTGCTTTACTCTGAAATAATCATTTCAAAATTAATAATATCAAATATACCCTCAATTGTCAAGCACACATTCTGCCTATTAACACATGATGACTAGGTATGCACATTTTACTGTCCATTGGACTATACAGCATAGCAATTTCATATTATAGAAAGGGCTTTGCCTCAATGCTAGGGATATTTTTTTTTACCTTTAAAAGAGGCCAGATTCAACTACTGACAATGAAATTTAAGTTAGAAAAGACTCAACCAGATTTTTGGAGAACTGCTACAAATTAGTTCTGAATTAGATGAATCAATAATCTGACTTTTTAAAAAAATGCCTATTCTCTTATGTAAAGTATATGATAAATTCTCAACCTTGTTAGTATCCCCTCAGTTTTGAAATGCTATATATTATAATTTACTGTAGCTAAACAATACTTAAAAAAATAGAATATGCATATTAAATAAATATTTAATTCAGTTAACCTGACATTCAAAAGACACAAAGTCATATTCATAAAGGCTTCTTGTAGATTTAAGTGATGTGATTGACATTGGGTAAAATTAAGCCCATTTGGTTTTCACTAATAAAATAGGCTGTGGTGCAGCTTTGCATTATGATGTTAATTAGAAAAAACCCCACTGTTAAAACTAGTCTATATAACCTTTCTGATTAAGCAATTAGATAGCATAGCATCAGAAAAAAAATTGCCCTGATTCTAAATATGGAAATGATAAATGTTTTATTATACACCTGATGAACACATAAGTACTGCATCATAATGTGCAAAAGAGAATTTAAATTCTGTACATAATGATTAGTTTAGTTATGCATTTTTATCCAAAATCAATTGACCAATGAGGTCATATGACAAAATGGTTTTTAAAAATATCTTCTGAAGTGCTGTTTGCACAGATTGCAGAGATACTTAATTTATAGAAACTTGAATTTGGCAGCATGATAACTACATGATGTAGTTATAATTCTTCATTCTTTTAAACACTTGAGCCTTGACCCAGAGATATTTGCAAAAAAAAATCCTTAAATCATGAAGTTTTACAATTAGCAATTTCCCCTGAGAAATAGATTTTCCTCAAAACATGTCAGAATAATAAAGCAAATATCTAGAGCAGCTGTTTCTTCTTAGAAAATCCCATAAAGTAGCTCTTCCTCAAGTTGAAAGGTGATGGATTCTAGTCCAACACATCTGGAAAGCACTAGGTGGGAAGAAGCTTTCAGCAACATTATTTTCCATTCAGAATATGAGACTAGAGTGGGATAATTGAAGAATGAGTGATGGAAATTGGTAGGTATGTAACAGAAGTACAGACTAATCTCCATTCTGAATTTTCATCTCAAGCCATACCTTTGCAATCTTTGAAGCAGAAAAACAATTGTCTGTGAGCTTATTCGTCTTTTTATTCATCATATAACAATAATAATAATAATAATAATAATAATAATAATAATAATAATAATGAGCGTGCAGTGATTTGACAGTGTTTCTGCTTTGAATATTTGGCAAACAATCCAATTCCAGTTGCACTACTTCAGAAGCTTCCTAATTTGATTTATATTCTCAAAAAGGGAAGCTATAACCATGACTGTTAATACCTATTGGCTCAAATGCCACTTACCTCCATAAGTCCTAACGAATCAATTTCAATTTTAAATCTCAGCAAGAAGTAATTCTGGGGAAATTTACCTTTTATGGTTTCCTACCTAAGCAACTCATTCTTTTCAAGGACACTCAGGCTAAAAGAATCTTTATAGAAAATTTCCTAAATTTAGACTTTCAAAATGAAATCTGTCATATTCCAACCTTACAGCTTGCAAACACATTTTATTTAACTTGATGTGCTACTCATTTTTCCAGAGACAACTTCTTTTAGATGGGAAATTGGCTAATTACCTTAGCCTTTCTGCCCAGCATTAACTTTTTTTAGAACCAGGATTGAAGTTTTACCCTTCCTAGTTCTAAATGTGAGATTTACAAAATCCTCATATATGTGATACCCTATCTATGAAGTACAAATGTTACTGAAGCCACCACATTTATGCTTTTATACTGCCCTATCCTGCCCTAGAGTCAGACACAACTGGACAAGAAAAATTTATTATTATCCCTGCAGCCAAGAAACTTTAATTTGTCATTTATTGACACATATTGTAGTCATTGGTTACATGTCAAGGGTGGAGTTATATAGTATATTAAAGAAAGAAAAATGCTATGCTGAATTAAAACAAGCTGTAGAAGATTATTTCCTTGATCTTTGATAATCCAAGATTGTGGATTTTTTAAAATTGCTCCATAGCTAATAGAACATTTGAATAATACTTTATTGAGAAAACATCTGAAAGCTGAAGTTTTACAAAAACAAATTCCTATCTCAATGTTGGTGAATAAATGAGGCATGAATGGCAAAATACTTCACAGCTGACAAGTTAATTAATTTTTTTTATTTCCATATACAGAAAATAAAATATCCAGAACATCTTAGAGAAAAAATTAAATGTGCTTCTTTCAATGTCTTATACTCTTTATTTCAAATGATAACTCAATCCAACCAAGTTATTCAAGAACTTCTTCTTCTCCTCCTCCTCCT